GCCGCACCCTCAGCCTGCCCCGCTCCGCTGCTCGCGCCTCCGGCACTGGAAAGGGGGAAAATGTTGCTCGGCCGCTTGAGAAATGAACAGCAACAGGATGGGGAGGCCCCGTCCCCACAGCGCTCTCCCTTCGGTGGGTACAGAGCACTTGCTGCCAGCCGTGCCGGCCCTGGGGTGCCCCTTTTCCTCCCAGCAGCAGCTCGCAGCAGCAATCCGCAGTCTTCAAGCTCCTCCGCACCAAGGTGATCGGCTACGTCCAGCCCCCGCCCCCTTTTCATGGCCACAGGCATGCCCAGAGCCCCTCCCCTCCTTCAGTCCTCGCCCCATGCTCTGCTCTGAGCACCCCCAGGTCTTCTCAGGGTGCTGGTCACCCTCCCACTGTGATTTAGATTACATGAACTTCTTCCCTGTGAGGGTGCTGAGGCGCTGGCACACGGTGCCCAGAGGAGCTGTGGCTGCCCCATCCCTGGCAGTGTTCAAGGCCAGGTTGGACACAGGGGCTTGGAGCAACCTGCCCTATCAGAAGGTGTCCCTGCCCGTGGCATGGGCTTGGACCCGTTTAAGCTTTAAGGTCCCTTCCAACCCAGCCCCTTCTATGACTCAGTGAAACCTAGTGATTTGCTCAAGAAAAGGCTGCTGTTTGGTGTGGGGGGATTTCAGTGAGGCTCTCCCAGAGGCAACCAGTAACTCTGGAAGTTTCACTGACATTTAAACCATGAACATCCCATCGGAGGGCAGGTGCACAGCAGTTGAAGGAAGAGTTTAGCACTAAACACACAAAGCTCTCATTACACACACGCCCCACTGTGCTGTCCCCCCAACCCGGCAATTCCCTACTCCAGGCAGTTGTTCAGCACTCTAGTTCACCCACTACAAGTGTCTGTCAGCATGGATTTGATGTGAAGTTTTTAAACTTACCCCATTTCTTGACACCACCACAAATACCTTTCAGAGTTTTTCACTTAAATGGAGGTAGTTACATTTTTAAAACCGGATAAACTTCTCCAGACAAAACCCGTGTTCAATAGGAGCAAAGTGATAGGACCTTCAGGCAATCTGTGAAGTACCTTAAGAGAAGCCCAAGCACTTCCCAAGGGAAAGGCCCCAGGGACCAGAGCTCAGCTTCCAGTGATGAAGAATGACCCCTGAGCTCCAGTGTCCGCAGGAGCTGGAGGCACAAAGAGCAAAGTTAGACCTGGTGTCCCCGACTGTTCCCTTGAGTCCAGATGCAAAGATTCACAAGTAAACATTCCCATTCCATTACACATCTGTCCTGTCTGCCTGGTCAGCAGCGGATTGAGAAATCCTCTCAGGTCAGCGAGACCCGAGTACTTCCCTCCAACCCACTTGCAAACAGTGCACAACCATGCGGATGCTTTCCAATCCAAAACTATTGTGTAGCAGCTGAACTTAAAACAGACACTAAAATAGCTTAGGCCACAACTGAGTTGTTTGTAAAATCCTTTTTAATCTAATAGAAATGTTTTCATGAAGTTTTAAAAAAGATTTCAATGAAAACAGCTTTGGATTCAGACATTCCCTTGCCACGTTGTGAACAGAAACAGCAGCATTGCACTAGGAACAAGTGACACCGACCAGTCGAGCTTCACCATTTTGTATGAAGCAGAAAAAAAGAAGCAAACTGCTTTAGTAGAAGATAATTTGAATGATTTTCATTAAAGAAAAAAAAAAAAAAACAAAACCAAAAACCAACCAACCAACCATGGGCTATCATATCTCAGCATTGTTCTCTCTCTCCCATCTTAAAGGGAGAGTTTAGCTTCTGCAGTCTGAGTGCTACAGCGATGTTTGCCAAGTGGAAAAATACAGTGGGAAAAGAAACTATTTATCCCCAGTGCTATTAAATCCCCAAAAGTTGCAAGTCCCTTTACAGGAAGGCTTTTCTTACATAAGAAAGACAATTAGAATTGGCAAACTGATGCAAAATATTTATTCCAAGTTAGTTATTTTTGATGCAGTAGTTTTTCCCCCTCATACAGACTCAATGTGATAGTCACTTTTTTAAATCTGTAAATAATGTTATCAAAATAATCTTAATCTTTGAAATCTCACAAAAAATTTATATTTTACAATCCACCCTGAATATCAAGGCTGCAAGAAGAAGAACACAAACAATTCCTATATCCAAATATTTTACAGCTGTACCCAAAAAAAGAAAACCACAAACGCCTGGTTAAGTGATGAAGCTCCCCGAGCCGCCAAAAAAAATAAAATAAAATAAAATATTCATGTTATTAGCATTAATTTAACATAATTAGAACTTCAATAGCCATTTTGTCATTGACAATGATTGTTTTAGCACACTGTTGCCGCACGCCATTGTGTAATGCGGGCGGCACTGTTAGAAGCTTGTTGTTGCAAAGATCAGTCAGCCACTTGTATCCTGCTTACAAGACTGAACTTGTGCACTGCCCCACAAGGGATTTTTGTCAAAATTTGCTAGCTGCACAAACTTCTATTAAGCATTAGGGCAAAACCAAAAGAAAAAGCTAAAGAAGCCAATTTCTCTCTTCTTTGGGATACAATTATTTCCCTTGTGCATGAAGTATCAACAACAAAAGAAAAAACTGAACAGACTGGAGACAGAATAAACTCTGTTTAGTTTATACAACCCCAAACACGTGTTGAACTATGAACTGAGTTTATTGGGTTGGTTTTATTTATTTTAATTTTCTTGTGCCCACTTTCAGGCATCGTCATCTGACGTTTCGCTGCTACTAGTTTCTGTGTCTGAGTCCTCAATCTTTGTCTTAAAAGTGCTTCTCCAGTGGAACAACAGGCTGGAGCCGCGGCCCTGAAGAAATCCATTCTTCCCAAATCCATTTCTTCTTCGCTGTAGGAATGAAAGTAAGTTTTAAAACAAGCAGAAGCGTGGGGAGTGACTGCCACTAACCATCTGTGGGCACAAATTACATGTTTAACTGTCTACACCCACTCTGCATGGATAATGCAGTCATTGACTGCACTACAATCTCACTTCAACCCTTTGTCTTTTCCAATATCCGTAAGAACTACACCACAGACAATTTGTGCATGAGAAGAGAGAGGGAGAAGAGCAGTCACAACTGGCAAGAGCTTTAGGACATACCTGCTCTGATTTGATTTGGAACTCTTTGAGCTCATCCTCCGTGAGGGGAAGGTAGTTCTCATCATTTTCAGGATACTCCTGCCATCCCATTTCTTTCAATAACCTGATTTGTGGAGAAAAAAAGAGGCATGGGAATTAAAGCAAGGCAACAGTGGCAAAGGAGAGGACATTCTGTCCACGAAGCACAAGGTTTTGTATTAAATCACTCCCAATTCACCAGGGAATCTTCTATATTAGAGACCACTTCAACAATGCTTTGTGTTTACCCAACATTTTTCAATGTCTTTTACAAATATTTAATCATGAGGATTCCTGTACAATGGATAAATAACTGGCCTGGCAGAAGAAAAGCAAGGCAGAGATTTGAAATTCTACCCAAGGATGCTGAAGGAGGACACGAGGCAATCTAACCAGTATCACAGCTCAGAATGGCCTAAAACTTACTATCTGCTTGCACCAGTTGCTCACACACTGCTTGCTTATGGAAGGGAAATACAAGCTGAGATACTAGGTAAATACTTTCTTTACTCTCCTCTACTTTTACAGCATTTAAAGCAGCACAAGAATGTTGTACACACAGACAGAAAGTGGTGTGTGTGTGTGAGGGTGTATCTTCAGTTTTCAGACTATTACATTTAGGACACCTGCTTGTGAATCAACCAGAATCACACCAGGTTCATGCTAACTCCCAGTGTGGGCTGGTAAATATCTAGGCAGCATTAACACACAGGGATGTGGCACTAGAGAAGCACTGGAATTTAATTACAGACCATGGTAAAGTTTTGGCTCCCCTGTCATCACTGTTCTTGTTTTAATTTCAGTGAGACTCCACCCAGCCCAGCACTAGTCATGAAGCTCACACACTGATTCAGGGCACACAAAGCTACTGCTGCTTCTCAGAAAGAGTGTACTTTGAAATAGTTTCCTTCTCCTCACACAGTCCAAGGATTCATCCTCCTTTACTCCAGCCACTTCATTTTGCCATTTACTCACCTGTGTTCTGCTTCCAATGAATGAGAGAGGTTTTCCCCCTCCTCTGGCAAAGGGAGAGAAAGGCCATTCTGATGGCAGTTCTCTTCCCAGTTTTCCTTTGGTTCTGGTGTGCTGTTGCTCTCCATCTAATAAAAGATAAGAGCATCAAAGAGTGCCTGCAAAGACCATGCCAATAGCACATTTCCAAGTCCAAGCTTCTGCTTTCGGAAGTAAAGCCAAGCCTTTCACCTTGAGTCAGTGTTTTTTACAGAGCCTGGACTGACAGTGGTTTAATGCAACTTCTACCTGGCTGTGACAACACAGTATGAATGATGTTTGGTGGACTGCACTTTTGTGTGAAGGGAGTAAGTGCTGGATTACAAAGCCATCATCAGTGGCTTCAGGAACCTTGAACATGCAGGAACCTTGAAAGCAAATTAAGATGTTAAAACATGGTATTGTTCTACTCCTTAGAAAATCCTTGCAAAAATCTAGACTACCTTCACCACCTGGGACCTTCCCTTCCATCTCATGACTTACCCATTTGTATTTCATCAAGTTACAGATTTCCCTTCATTGCAGTGCTGTGCACTACTGCTGCTGGCATGTATGCCAGACCACTGGAAGTCATTCCTTTTCTCCTCCAGAGTCTGAATTACATACACAGCTCTGGTTTTTTCCTTCTCCAGTACCCAACTCCTTAAATGCATAATGATCACATATACAGTAAGGACAGAGATCTTACATCATCCAGTTTGTCACATTCTCTGTTCTCGGTTATCTCCCCATTCCTATCATCTTTCAGTGCCTTCAGGAACTCGCTCTTCTTATCAGTGGTACGGCGCATCAGCTTCGTCAGGCGTGAAGAGCAGATCTCGATGGGAGGGGTGGTGCTGGAAGGACTCTAGACAAGGAAGGTAGAATATAGAGACCTTCAATCTGTATTTCTGCAAAGATAGAGCCCTCTTCAGCACACTGTTCTCCCCACTTATCAGTATCAACTCATGTTTTCTTCTCCAAGGAGTCAATTCACATGGCCATGAGTAGGTTTATTCTGTTCCTTGACAATGTAACCCTAAAGCAGTGCTGGAACCTACAACAGTATGAAGGCAACGAACCTCATGCAGGACTCTTACTCTACAAAAATTAAGGAAATTAGGCTCAGTTCAAATTTGCATCTTAAGCATCCTGACAGACTCTACCCCTAAATCAAGCTACGGGGTTGTAATCTCCTTTCAGGGAGTGGTCACATCCTTAACTAACCACAAGTGATGTGAAATAGGTAGCCAGCCTCAGTATTCTCCCTGGAGAGCGTGCTGCTGATTCCTCACTGTGTACACTCGCAGCCCAGATGGTTCAGTGTGGAGCCACACACAGAAAACCCGGAGCCTGTGGGAACTCTGCTCAGCTAAATTCATGAACCCAAGGTAACGTCCCATGCTTTTCCACAGTGTTTAAGCTTTCTTAATGATTCTGAAGCTGTGAACCAGGTGTAAGGCACAACAGTTTGTGCATTACTGGTGCCCCAGCCATGATACTGCAACAGAAACATTGATAACCAAGATGAGCTTTCAATTTAATCTGTTCCATCATTTTCACTGGACATGCAAAAGAAATCTAAGAGCATGTAATGTGGAAGTTCTTGATTTCTTAACCTTCTGCTTATGTGGATTTCATATCTGGCTACTCTAAGAAAAGGAATTTATTCATTAATATGGATACTTGACACCAGACTCTTGCATGCAAAACTATTCTTTTCCTTCACTTACTTGCTTTGATTTTTTTCCTCAATATTAAAATACAGTAACATTTCCTAAAGCCTGTAGTGTTTTTCTCTCACCCATTTGGGTTTTTTTAAAGCTAGGGTGGGAAGGCTGCAAATTCAGGCTCTTCAAAATGAGTCTCCTTTGTACAGTATTTTTATCACACTCATAGGGCTTTGAGCAAAGATCAAGGGAACTAAAATATTTAGCAAAACAGAACCAAGGCAGCAACAGCTGCTTGTATTTCTCATGCCTGTTGCACATGAAACACGTGTGAAATAATGCCTTTCAAGGAAGTGCATGCTGAAAGAAATCCTTTACAGTAAACATCTCTCAGGTGGCCTTTTCAGATTTCGCCTAATTCAACACAGTAAAGAACAAATCAGCAATTGTAACAGGTAAGTGACTGTGAGTATTAGGATAAAAAGCCAGCAGAGTACTGAAATTAAGTTCTTTACACAGCAACTAGTTTGGCTTCAGAAATGGAAGGTAACAATAAACGAAGGAGACTAAAAACTACATGTTTTCTGGTAATTTGGAATACTCCAGCTCTTCGCTAGTGTCTGTTTTAATGTTTCATAAACTGCTGAAGTACTAAACCTTAATTTCTACACATTAGTGGAAAACAGTTATAGCCAAAGTTTAGAAACACAGATTCCTGACAGTGAATTTATTTTCACCTCAATTCTGGTTTTATGCAGAGCTTTCTGTAGAAGGGGTTTTACGTAACATTCTCTTTAGTATGAAAGGGGTACAAGTAGGCATTTTGGGCATCTTTTCTAAATGTGAGTTCATCCCTTTGACTGAAACATCAAGGCAGCTCTCAGTTTATTGAGACCACTATGCATCATCTCAGATTTGTTCAGATGTCAGTCTACATAACAGGGATGGCTACTCTTACAGAAAAGTCATTCTGAATCATTTTAAGACTTCAGACTGTATCTTAATCTGCTTATTTTAGACTGGTTTGTGGGGACACAGTGCCACTGCTAGCTGGCATCGTTTTAGTTTTCAATACATTGTGGTCTCTTATGAATAGAGGTGCTATTTGCAACGCTTCTGCAGGAGAGGCATTATCCCCATTTCAGGAACAAAAAAGCAGAGATTACTTGCAGCAGGCCTGTGGAGCAAGGATTACAGTAGTATTTGCTGGCCATGCTCCTGTGTTTTCATACTGCAAGTCTCCAACAGATTCAAAGAAAAAAAAAAAAAGAAAAAGTGTTCAGTTTTAGTTCGGAGGAATTTTTAAGCCTTTTTGTTCAATTGATTGACACTGGTAATACAAGAAGTATTCAAGGCAGTACTGCTTGTTCTGAGGAAATCCCAGCTGCCTCCTCTGGTTGTCAGATGAGTACCTGACACCTTTGCTGACTAAAGATTCACACAAGACCTTGGAGGGGCGGGGGTGGAGGAGATGACTTGCGTTACTGACATACAGTATGATACGGATATGCTGTATGATATAAAGTGAATGCCCTTCTCAGCATCTGCCTGTTGAACTTTACATATTTATGCTGCAAAGGTGTCCATTCTGTGCTGTGCATTACACAAAAGTGCAGGCTGTCAGTAGCACAAAGGACTTAGACTAAGGACAGACAAAAGCAAGGGAAACGAGTGGAGTGTAAGATCTATTTGCCAGTGACAGGCGCATGCTTGTTAACTATTGCTTTTTAATGACTGCTTATACGCTCAGCAGTGGCTAAAGCATAAAAGTACAGGCTGTTGTAAAGTAAAGCCTGCAAAGCAGAGAATCATAAAGATGACAAGGCTGTATTTTGGAAGCAAGATCTGTAAAGGAACAAGACAAATGCATAACTAGAAAAAACCCCAACCCACTGTTACATTTGAATGAACATGTCATCTATTGGAGTATTGTTTTTCATTTGTGTTCGTTTTACATATGCTCACAAACCTGTTAAATCTTGAGGAGCAGAGGAGAAAAGTTATTCAGTGCCACTTTTCTATTAAGCTTTATGGACTTCCAGGGTCCAAACCAGCATCCTGTATACAAACTATGGAGCAAAGCATAGGAATGCTGGCCAAAACATGTTATGTCACCATTACTGCTGAAATGTTACCAGAGTAATATACCAAGGTTCTCTCTGTACTTCAGACCAAAACCAGAGGGAGTCAGTTTCCACCTCAGCACATTACCTCTTTCCAACACCAAAATTAAAACCAGACACTGCAGCTGAAGACACATATACACATGTTAAACTCTCTCAACCCCCTCAGAGATCACTGCTTGTGCTGTTGTGCTCCTAGAGAAAGGAAATGAGTCAGATTGTTCTCCTTCCACTTCTTTTCCCATACTGAAAAACCACATGGAATCAGTTTACTTATCTATTTACATCAGTTCTTGGTATTTGCACTCCAATAACATCAAGTCTATGCATGTCTCGTTATGCAACACTATTTAAAGCATTTTATATTTGAGGAAAACTCTAATACATTCAAGCACCAATGGCTTTGTAGCCAGGTAAGCCACATTTTTATTTCTTTTGGTGTATCAGATGTGACAGAACATGCTAAGAATGTACAAGCAAGTCATTCTTCATGGGTGCAAAGGTAGGTACCATATACAGAGAGGACCTTATCATGTTGCAGCTATAGTAGGTGATAGGGACAAGAGTTCCCACCCTGTTCCCAAACCCAACCCCTTACCTCTTTGGGAGAGGTGAGGACTGAGCCACTCGCCAGTACCGCTGGTTTGGTTACAGACACTGGACTGGTAAAGGCAGAGTCACGGCTGGAGGAAAGCGAGCCTGGTTTATGTTCACTTCTGTTGGCTTTCCATGGACTTGGCTATATTGAAGAGAACAGAAGATACTGGTCAGTAAAGGGTAAGGGACAAGGAGGGGTTGCTTATAAGTAGTAAACCAAACAAACATTGGCTGTTATGGGGATTTTTCTTTCTCCTCTACAAGAACTGTCTCATCAACTTTACCTCGACAGCCATTATTTGTTCCTCTGTCTTCTTGTTTTCCCCAAACCACACAAAATTCTGCTTCATGAGCACCACCCTCCAGTAAAGCACCATTAGATCTCAGAAAATCCAGCACTGCTCTTCATTAATTGGAAGCCCCACCAAGTAAAGCACTGCATCTTACAGCTACCCACAGATGCTGTAAGAATGCCAGTTAAATTCACATTTCATATGGAAGCACTGTTTGCCACAAAGAAAGGGTTTGCATTACTTGACAGGACCTTCCCCTGTGCGAGGAAGCAGCATTATCAAGGAATATTTCTGTCCAGGCTGAGAATGCACATTATTTATTTCCTAGGGCTCTGAAAGTGTCCATCACTGCACTGATTTAGCAACAATAACAAGGAAAAAAATGATTAAATAAAAAAAGAAGGAAAAGCTGCTAGTTCATTAAAGTGCATGAGCACCTGCTGTTTTGCTCTGGATTCTCTGCAGTACCCCTTCAAACACACTGGCAATTTGGCTGAAAAACAAAGACTTTGAAAAACAAAGATAAGTTTTTGTTATTTGGAATGTTATCCTTGAGCCTCTCTTATCAACCAAGGACAAACACTGTGAAGTGTTAAGTCTTTTACAAAGAGGATCCTAACAAGAAACTTGTATCAAGTAGCACAGAAATACACCTGTCAGAGAATTACAACTTTTGACAGATCAGACTTTTGAAGCTAACTTCAAGTCATGAGCAAAAAAACTCACGCACAAGTGGGATCCAGTTAAATCTGAGACTGCAAGAACATTCTGCAAGCAATGAGAGTAGAAGCCATTATTTCAGTATGTTCTCACTTTCCATTGGGTTGTTTTATTCATTTTTGAATAAACAAATCAGTAGGGGAGGCCATCAGCATTACTCTTCCACTCCAACTTAAAAACAAGAGCAGTCCGCATTACTGAATGGATTATTTGGCATTCACAGCACACATTCCAAACATTCCCTTCAAACCCAGAAAATATCCTGATCTGTGCAATATTGCCTGGTACTAAAGTTAGGGTTTAGAATTACTGTGACAAAGAAGTTTCTCTCCACAGACCTGGTTAGCTGCTGATTGTTGTTCTCCCAGATTCCACAAAGGGGCACTTCAGACAAATTCAAAGACAGACCCTTAATGCTTCCTTAGAGGGATACCACTAGATTCAAGCACAACTGGAGATGAGTATCAAAAGGAATTGTTTGCGGATTATGACCCTCATGGATTTCTTGACTGTGAACAGTGAGTCATCTCAAGCAGCCCAGAGGGAACGCGCTTATTTCATTGCTACCAGTTCTCTTCCTTTCAACACTACTTGGTACAACTTCACAAAAAACCATTTTTCACTCAGACTGCCTATGACAGCTTTCCAATGTCGCTGACTTTGTCAAAAGGATGTTTTGACCCCTCTACTACTTTATGCACTGCAATTCCTGTACAACTTTATGGAAGTCTCTAGAATAATGTATCCTACCACAGCTTATGTCTGTACCTTCTAAAAAAGGCATCATGCACACACATTTTCTTGCTAAGGATATGTTGATATCCCACTTCTAAGCTTTGCTAATGGTCACCATTCATTAAGAGAACTGCTACTGATGCCACCAGCAGACAATTCTTCCCTATTGCAATCTCCACCACTAAGGAGCAATATACTGGCCAACAATCACAGCACGTCAATGCACACACACCTAATAAGTACATATTTATAGCCTGCTTAACATGACTGATCTCTTGGGCTATACCTCCTCCACTAGCCAAACAGCATTTCACATATCAATACTGTAATACTTCAGGTATGAATCCAGACCTACCAACTGTTTCAGTACTGTAAATACTTAATTAAAAGGAACTTAGGCAGCTACCACCACATATTGCCACAATCTCCGATTTAAATATAGATATACAATCTGGAATGCAAATGAGAGCTACGTAACATGTAAAACAAGCTAACAAAAAAAAGCCCTACTATTATTTTTGATTTAAGATGAACTTCTATACCACACTCACAAGGCTGCCTCAGAAGAACAGACCACACTTTTCAACTTACCTATACAAATTAAAGGGTATATTGCAACTGTGAGCACTGATAAATGTATTTTTTGTTTACTCTGAAGAAGCAAAACTTCCAAGTCTAATTTCAGCACACAGTTAGGAAAACCTTCAGTAACAGTAACAATAGACATGTACACAGCTTTCACAAGTACATTTCAATCTTTCAATCCCTACAGTTGGTACAGCACTAACTTTCAGACCTCACAAGTTATCTTTGTGCTCAACAGCAGCTAAGAG